CACACGGGGCACACACGGGGCCCACATGGGGCCCACACGGGGCACACACGGGGCACACACGGGGCACACACGGGGCACACACTGGGCACTCCTGGATGCACTTCCCCAGGCTGATCTGCTTTCCTCAGCGCGTGGCCTCTGGCCCAGCTACCCCCCTGGACACTTCTCTTCCCACGTGTGCACTGTGCTCGGCCACCACCCCAGCAAGTTCCTGGCCTCCGCACTCTACCTGAGGCTTAGACCACGGCCCTGTGCGGCGGCCTCGGAGAGCAGTGAGCTTGTGCCCGTGGAGGGGCTGATGATCCCCGGGGACACCACCCCACCAGAGGCGACTGATGGCTTCTCTATTCCCTAACCTGGGAGTGGGCCGACCAGTTCTAGTCCATGAGACACAGGAGGGAATCTTCTGGAAGTGCCCAGAAAGGATTGCCATGCTCAAGGAAAGAAAAAGAATGCCCCTTTTCTCCTTGTTCTTTCCTGGTGTGTGAGCATCAGCTGGACCTGCAGTAGCCATTTTGGTGTATGAGGCACAAGCCCGAGGATAAAGGAATAGAGGGAATAAGAGTCTGGGTTCTTCTCCGGTTGACCCAGTTATCCCACCCCTTGGTCTATACCCAAAGGATTTGAAATCAGCATATTCTAGTGACACAGCCACATCAATGTTTATAGCAGCTCAATTCACAATAGCTAAGCTGTGGAGACAGCCTAGGTGCCCTTCAACAGATGACAGATAAAGAAAATGTGGTATATATACATAATGGAATATTACTCAGCCATAAAGAAGAATGAAATTATGGCATTTGCTGGTAAATGGATGGAATTGGAAACTGTCTTGCTAAGTGAAATAAGCCAATTCCAAAAAAAAAAAAAAAACAAAGGCTGAATGTTCTCTCTGATGTGTGGATTCTGATTTACAATATGTGGTGGGCAGATAGAAGTTCATTGGATTAGACAAAGGGGAACGAAGGGAAGGGAGGGTATGGGAATGGGAAAGATAGTATAATAATTTAGACATAACTTTCCTGTGTTCATATAAGAATACATGACCAGTGAAACTCCACCTCATGTGCAACCACAAGAATGGAAAGTTATACTCCATGTATGTATGCTAGGCCAGAATACACTCTACTGTCATGAATATCTAAAAAGAACAAATAAAAAAATTTTTAAAAGTCTGGGCTCAGCCTGGAACCATCACCTACAGACTTCCCATTGTGTGAGATCATAAAATCACTTATGGTTTAGGTCATAGTAGGATACCTTTGTATCATACTAACTGGTGTATTGAGGATTCACTGAGATTGCATGTGCATCTTCTAGTCAGGGACCTGGGGCCACACAGAGATGCCCAATAAATACCACTATCCCCTCGTTCACGTAGGGAACGCTCCTCAGAACAAATCCTCGAGGCCAGCACTGTCAGGAGTTGCCGTTGAAGGAAACTTGCCCGGTGCTGGGGGCCAGTCCAGGTTCCGCGGTGTTTTGGTGAACGCTGAGTGTGGCAGGGTCCTGTGTTAGGAAACACCTCAGGCCCACGTGATGACACAGGCAGGACAGAGCCCCAGAGCTGCAGGTGACTTCAGGGCCCACACACCTGTGGCTGAAACCCAAGTCTTTGGAGCCCCGATGAGACAGAGTGAGGGCCAGGCATTTCCAAGTGAACTTGAGCTGCCCCGGTCTCTCAATGCTGCACGTCAGGAGCTTGTCAAGGCCAAACCAGAGAAGGCCCCTGATAGCCCCGAGTGACCAGCACAGATACCCTCAGATGGCCTGGAGGAGCCCACAGGCAGCTGAGTTCTCCAGTTCAGTGACATCTGAGGAGATGACCGGGGCCTGGGCATAGTGGTGGACTGGGAGGTCAAAATTCTGCCAGGCACGCCCAGCCCCGCCACTTGCAGGGGCCTGGACTGTCCACCATCTCTGGGTGCCTCCATTTCTTTCACCTGAAGAACCAGGATTCCAGCGCCCACCTCGCAGGTCCTCCGGAGGCCCGCAGAGTTACCTGGGTGTCTCCACACTTCTGATTGGGGGAGTCAGATGGGGCCACTGCACGCCCGCGCCCGTGATTGACTTTTCATGCCCGTCCCCAGGGGAGCTGGGCAGACACTCCGTGACCGGCTGCCGGACCTGAACCACAGCTGCCCTGGGCTGGGTGACACTTGCCACTCACAAGGTCCTCAGCTCCTTTGTAACCAGGCTCCCAGAGGGCACCATTATCCCCATTCTCCAGAGAGGAAACTGAGGCTTGGGCACGTATGTCAGCGCCTGGTGAAGCTGACGTCAGAACCCAGCCCTACCAGCAGACACACTGCTCTACCTGTTGAAAGAGAAATTAATAAGTACAGGGAGGAATCAGGATGGTAGATGGGTAGATGGAGAGTGTATTCGTCTGTTTTCCATTACTATAACAAAACACTGAGCCAGGCTAACTTTATAGAGAAAAGAGGTTTATTTAGCTCATAATTCTGAAGGTTCAGGGCATGAAACTTGCGCTGGTTCAGCTCTGTTGTGGGACCTATTGGATATGTCATATTATGGCAGAAAATCACCGTGTCATCAAACAGGAAGCAGATTGACATTCTGTGATCTCTTCCCACCATCTCCCAGTACCACAACCCTGGGGACCAGGTTCCCAGCACAGGGACCTTGGGGGCAAGCCACACCAAACCTAGAAGATGGGCCAAAGGATGATTGGATGGAGGGTGTGGAGATGATTCCATTGTTTGAAGTATTCCACTTTCCCCGTCTCTGGGGACAGAGGCTCATGGGGTTTTGCCCTGTGGTCTCCTCCCCTGGTGGCTCTCCTAGGCAGCCCTTCATTCTTCTCCAGCTGGTAACTTTGCTCTGCTCTGGCCCAGTGGAGCTGCTCTTTGTATGATCACTGGCTTCGCCTTCATCATGAATTGCAAGGTTCAAGGGCAAGACCAGGTCACGTCTCCCCAGCTGTGCCAAATCCCCAGTGCCTGCTCCGAACCCTGCCCGATGAGGTGCCAGAGACTTATTTTAATAAAGAACAAATTAATTCACAAAATAGATAAAGAGGAGGTGAGGGAGGGTGGGGATTGATGAAGGAAGGAGGGGAGAGTGGAAGGGAGGAGGGGAGGGAGGAAGGGAG